CAAACACCCATCCTAGTTGTGAGTAGATGGTTGACTTGCAACTGGGTGCCTATAGACATAGGCCCCCCTAGTTGCGGGTCGGTGGTTGACTTGCAACTAGGCCCCTACAAACGTATTCCCCTAGTTGCAAGTCGATGGTTGACGTGCAATTGGGGTAACTACAAAAAAGTACAACGTGTCCCAGTTGCAAGTCGATGGTTGACTTGCAACTGGGCCCCTACAGACTGACGCCCCCCTAGTTGCGAGTCGCAACTGGGGCCACTATAAAAAAGTAGGGCATGTCCTAGTTACGAGTGGATGGTTGACTTGTAACTAGACCCCTACAGCACATACGCCCCTCTAGTTGTGAGTTGATGATAGACATTTTGCTGAAAATTGAAACAACAAGCCTAGGAATGTGTCACTGGTGTTCATGTTGGTCGATTAGTTAGGGATTAACATACCTGCCTTCACATAAACTAGGAAGGGACCAGAGATTATTTCTCAGCGGCTCAGGTACTTCATGCTTCAGCTACTGCCATAATTACACTGCCAGAAAAAACACGGCACACCCAAAGCAGAGTAGTTCCCAGTACGTCTTACCTTCTGGAACTGATCCAAACTCTTCAACTCAACCAGGGTTCAGAGAGTTCACCAATCTGCCGTAACTGTCAGCCTGTCACAATCTCAGAGTCTATATAACAATGGTCCATTGTTGAGAAAATCGTTAACTGGTAGCTGCTCGGATGGCTAACGAGTAGGGGATTAATCGGTTAATCGGCCATTTAATCAATTAATCGGACGATTTTTCGGTTTATCGGCTACTCGGTGACCCTATGAGTAGGGATTAATCGGCAAGTTAACTGGTTAATCGGATGAATTCTTGAACAGGGCAATGGTCTATATATACTCATTTCTATTTATGTAAATCGTAGTAGGGTAAGATTTCTTATAGCCTATACAGGGGATAATATGCACACATGGGAACAAACACACTCATGCACCCTCCACCTTCAGCTGGGAAGGGGGCGTTGGGATCCGTTCAGCACCTCACCGGGCCGCTCTGCTCGCGAAACACGGACAAACACAACGCACACACTCACACCTATAACATCTGCTTTCTTATCTGCACAGCGCAAAGCAAGCGAGGTTCCCTGCTGGCTGTTTGCGGCCTAGAAAAGCTGGAAAAAGAGGCTTGTCGAACCGTCGCCGAATGACCGGAGGTCTGCTGGCTTCACCAGTGCCCTGCACAGTGGGCAGGTGCGCTCCCTCTCAAACCTGCCATCATCCAGAAAGACGTTAGTACAAAGGAAACGCCAATAGATACTCAGAGTGTTGAGATCATGAAACAAAACTGTAACTAGAGTGGAGTGGACGGAATGTCTGCGCGTTACCATTCAGAGACACAATCTTCACAGAAGACATGTTTACAGCGCAAAAGAATGGGGACGTGCATCTTCTCTTGGCATATAGCACACATATCTCCAGCAGCAGCAACCTGAGTGCACACACGCCGCATCGGTAGTCAAGTTACATGAAAGATGCATGCCAAAAGTTCCACTACACAATGCATATTTTCACATGCCATCGTTACTTATAAACATTCAGTAACAAGTGACAGCCAACAGCTTCTTAGTGTCTAATAAAGCATACAAAATTACCTGCTCACTCGTTGCATATGAGCCATAATGAAAGTCTTTATGGGACAATGCTCTCAGTGATGTAAAAAATGATTGAATCTGCCAAGCAAAAAGGTAAGTGTTAGAAGGCATCTGCTCAGTATCACTGCTAAAATTGCATAGGAAGGTATATCACCTTTTCCACAACAGATGTCAACTTGAACGTAAGATATAGTCCAGTGGTTAGCGAGGAAAATAGACTCCCATACTCCTTGTTCAGGAAAAAGCGATACCATACAGGAGCAGGCAATAAGGCACGGTACAGAAGTAGAAAGTATTCCACAAGTGTTAACATTTGACCCTGAACAAAAAGGCAAAATTGGTTATGGCTCCCTGATTATACAGAAAAACAATAGCACTGCACCTGGAGCTATAAGGAAAAATACCAAGATACATCACAGAAATCTAGGATTACAAGCGTTACCTGCCTACGATAGCTACGGCCCTTGGTGTTCCTGTAGTACATTAGCAGTATGCACTTCACAATCATAGCAGTTTGGCGCACCATTGTATCTGAACAAATTTTAGAAGAAATCGAACACGATTACAAACTTCATGAAGAAAGTATCAGTTCTAGACAGTTTGGTTAATTTAATCTATGTTATCCACTGAACATAGATTTATATACTTGAAGTATAGAGATGCACCACCACTTATAAATAGAAAACAACCTAGTTTATCTCTACATATCCACATTCAACAAATCCGATGAACTTTTGAGCCAGTTAACACCATTAACATTTAAAAGGACCCTAGTACCAGCAATTAAACGTTTTCAGGCCGTATGACGTCCACAGAATGAACTTAGAAGCAATACAAGTGGCAACGATTAAATATGTTCAAGCATCATAGGTAAAAATAACATACCATTCACTAGGATTACAAATATTGCATGCCAAAATGGTGGTATATCTTTTGGAGGAAGCATGACCAGAGGTCTGATAAGATCACCATTCTTGTAACACCAGTACACTCCAGATACATGAACGACAAATAATATTGTAATCCCAACAAGAATTAACATTTTTCTCTCCCCCTGCATCAAGCAGAAGAAAAGAAGCGAAGTTAGCCAGATGGTAACAGGATCATAGTTAAAACACTTATGCACAAATGATAACATCAGCAAGCATCCTCATACAAGGAACATACATAGCTAATAGATTTTCGTGACTTCAGAAGATGAAGATAAAGGAAGGGGCATGAAAGATACTTACAAGCTACAACTACCTATACAAATAGAACTCTCTCGCAATTCCAGGAACCAATTAGTTGCTGCAATAATGATCAAACTAATGGACCGCATGTAATCATTTCCATTTGGAATTTCTTTGGTGCAGGGTAAGGGCATAAACCAACAAAGATATCCAATTAATTTACCTTACAGTCAACAGGACAACACAATTCATGCAAAGAAGAACATGGCATACAAAGGCATGTAAAGGTAATGCGTGAATACAGAAAATTCATGAAAATGCTCGATACAATCTGGAGTATGGATGGTTGCAATGGATTTCATAGTGTTGGCTGCCCAGCTTTTGGTGTGTTTTTAACTTCCTGAACTCAAAGGTGGATGGCACGGTGTGATTTCGTTTTCTATGAAAATGGAACAGGGGCTTTTGCCCTGTTAATCTATAAAGCACTCAACGCAACAATAATGTTACCATGTAAGCACGCACAAAAAAATATCACCATCATATTTGCTCAAAGATGCGCTGAACTGAAACATTTTAATTAGATATAAACTATAACACTAAGCAACATGATTGCATACAATGAGTTGGACTTATTTCATTAATCGATACTCTTTAGTCTTTAGTTCTTACACACTAAGCTTGGGGTAAACTACACCAGAGCCAAAAATTTCAGCAAAACGGGCACAAAACCTACCTTTAGAGCAGTCTGCTTGCGCAGGATGTCATTGGACTTGAACATCACGGCAGCAATCCAGATGGTGACAAAGAAACCTGCATGAAACAAACCAGATCAGTCCACGGTTTCTCAGTGATCCCAACGTTCACAAATAAACAAATGAAACCATAAGTCCCACCCACGATTTTTCACAAGATAAACGAATGCGGTCATACACAGACGACAACATATCAATTTGCACTGGTGGATCATGGATTTAAAATAAACAGAGGGGCAGGGGGAAGGACCTTGCAGGTGCTGTCTGATGAAGACGACGAGCAGCAGCAGCGTGAATGGCAGTATCTGCTCCACCCACCTGGCCACCTGCTGTATGTCGTACCTCTGGTATGAGGAGGAGGAGTCGGCGCCGGCCGCGGCCGCCGGCGCGGAGGGTTGCGCCCCTCCCGCGGCGTCCCCCTCCTCCTGCACGACGGCCCCGTCGGTGGCCGCCGGCCCCACGATCCGGATCGACACCTCGCCGCCCCCGGCGGACGGGTGGTGCGGGCCGGGGTCGGCGCGGAGGACGCCCGAGTACTCGAGCAGCGCCGAGAGCGGCGCCTGGATGAAGCTGGAGGCGGAGAAATGCACGCCGTAGCGCCTGGAGGACACGGCCGCGGAGGCCTGGGCCTGCGGCTGCGTCTGGGGCCGCGGCGACACCGGGGGCGTGGTGGTCGGCGTCGTCGTCCGCGGTGGTGGCGGCGCGTCCATCATCGGGCCGTCGGCCGCGGGGCCGGGTCGCGACGGCAGCTTCCAGGGGCGCCTGCGGCGGAGGAGCGCGGGCGGGTCGGCGGCGGCGTCGCAGGGCGGGGGCGCGCGGAGGCAGGCGGCGAGGCGGAGGCGGAGGCGGCGGAGGGGGCTCGCCGTGGCCGTGGCGGCGTCGGGTTGGTCGGTTGTCGCGGTCGCGGCGCGAGGAGTTCGTTCCTGGAGAGAGGCTTTTGGTTTTGGGATATTTCCTCTGCCCCGTACGCCACGCCTGCCCGCCTTTCCAATCCTTCTCCCTCCCTCGGGCTCGGGTTCGGGCGTGGGCGTGGGCGCGGGCGGGTTATGTTTGGGCGAGGCGAGGGTGACGTGGCCGCGGCGGGATGGGGATACGCCGTCTGCCTCTGCGTCGCTCCTGTCCGGCCTCTTTGGTTGGCTCAATTGATTAATCATCATCATGTGTCTGGTTCAGACTTTGTATTAGGACCTGATTAATTGCATAATCTGTCGGCGTCGCTACTAGAAGGACTGGTTCTTAGCTAAAAGAAGAGAAGGGTTGGTTCTGCGAGTCTTTTCTCGCCCGTACTGCTGGACCAGCTTAGGCATTGAGCACAAAAAACATGTATTTCGCACGGGCAATATTGAATTTATGCTCCAGCCAACTCATCCAAAAGTCCGAACAGATGGAAAGATGCGGGAAATATATTTCAACGGGCAGTGCAATGGCGACGCTTCTTCTTCGAGCCGGTTCTCGAGTCCCAATCCTCGTCAAGTTCATTAGTTGGGACGGGCTAGACGGTGCTCCAGCATAGGTTCCTCGGGGCGGCGAGGTTAGGATTTCTCGTCATGCATATGCGGCGGCGGGGAGATTTGATGTCGGGTTCGATGATGACAACCATGACTCTGGGGCGGTGGTCCTTAAGGGCAAATGCACAAGGACATTCCGGGTGTCATCGACAAGGTTGGGCCGGCTCAGGTGGGAGTGACGACGGCGGCACATCGGCAACTCGTTCTGCCGGTGGCAGCAGCTACTCGGTGGTTCAAGGACCATGATGTAATCTGAGATGTTTCGTACTTTTGATAAATTTTTATAATAAATTTGAGTGATCTTAAAAAAAATTAAGAAGAAGAACTAGCAGTAGTATTAGCTCCCATGTCGAACCAATGGAGCGAGTGACCCGGCCAGTCCACCTATAACCAAACCAAGGCCCATACGCCATGCCGGAAACACTTGTTTAACAACATGATTATTTAGTACACCATCTTTCTTAGACTAATTCAGTTTAGTAACTGTGTCTCACATACTCCCTCATTTTAAAATGTAATGCATATTTTGTTTTTTAATGTTAGACATGTCTATGTTTGGCCAAATTTAATGAAAAAGTATCAACATTAACAATACAAAATTAGTATCATTAGATTCATCATGAAGTGTACTTTGTAATTCATTTATTTAGTATTTTAGATGTCGATGGTTTATTTTATAAACTTGGTCAAACATAGACATCTTTGACTTAAGAAAGACAAAATATGCACAGCGTTGCGGAATGGAGGGAATATATATATAGTAGCAATACAATAATTCACAGGAATCCTTGATGGATGGAAGGATTGTGTGGCGCAGCCAATCCCAAGCTCATGGCCAGAATGTGCGTTTCTAAAAAAAAGGTCAGAATGTGCTTGATCAGATGGGAAACATGGATATGGATATCATTAAGTAACCTTAAAGAAAGAACGGAGAGGAGATGAGAGGTCGTCATCAATCATTAGGCAGGCCCTATGTCATAGTGTTTTCGATCATTTCTAAAAAGGCAGAAAATGAAGAAGGAAATGATGTTTTGAGTTTTGACAGGGAGACTTGGCTGTGTGCATCCCATGTATCGACATACTCTTGAATTGCATCACGCAATCCCAAAGATAAGGGTACATTTTGATGCTTTACCAGTCTGCTCGTTATCGAAAGAGTGTTGATGGAGTGTTCTTGCTTGCCATCAGTGGTTAAGAATATATGGTAGCAGAATCAAACCAACACTCTCGGCACAACGACTCTTGCATAAGTAGGCTTTTAGTTTTATATATCATCTCGCCTCACTTTTGGTTGTACTTAGCGGCAATCGACCTTGCATCTGCCTTTTTTTCCCACCAACATCGAGGGAACCAACAACAAGATGCCAACATGAGCGAGGGCAGAGGGTTGGTGCCTGGCAGGGACAAGGTAGATGGCTGTTGGGTTTCATGTTGTTTCTGTGAAGAGAGTGCAAAGGAGAAGGCTCAGCTCACGGTGCTCACACACTCGTGTACGGTGCACGTACGTGAGTGTGGTTTCCACCTAAGCTAGCTAGCGTGTGATTTATTAGAAGGTACATTGGCTTGCTATAATGCACGTGTGTCGTAACGAAAAGCAAAAGAGGGGCGGGTACCAACTCTTTCAATGCTCGCATGCTCTCATTTCAAGAAAGATCAATGTAAATGTTTCAGACATTTCAAAAAATAAAAGTGTGAATGTTCACCCGGCCTATTTCCACAACCCCTAAAAGAATCTAGACACAAATTCAAAAGAAACATCGTGAAACAGAAAAAACAACAAATCCATACGTGAATAGTGTCGTTTTTCTTTTGTCGTTGTGTTCTCTATGCATAGTTTGAATTTAGATCTGAAATGTTTAGAGGTTGTAAACTCATGTCTTGTGAATGCTTACAAAAAAATTGATTTTTTTTGAAATGCCTAAGTTTACATTTTGAAAGTTGGGATCATGGGAGCATTTAAAGGTTGGTATCACCGATACTACTACTTTCCTTGGTGATGTAGTTGCCACCGGATGGAGATACGCCATCTGCTTTCGCGTCCTTCCTTGGTTGGTTGTGAGTTGGTTTAATTAATTAATCATCATGTGTCTGGTTCGACTTTGTATTAGTATCTAATGAATTGCATAAATTTGTCGGTGTCGCTGCTAGAAGGATTCGTCCGCTGTGTGAGTTTCTTTTGACTTGAGGCAAAGCTTTTGATTGTCGAGCAGTTAATAATGGAAAACCATTCGACAATGCAACGTATACAACAAGAAACGCCAACCGCAGAAACACAAATCACCGTAGGGCCTGCTTCGCTAAACAGGTCGGCCACCACCAGCATCGGAGACAATAGCCGAGAAAACAACAATCGTGGCTCTATCAGTCTATCACATATGTGAAGATGCATGCACACCACAAGGCCCTGCGTCAGATTGCAATGCCCGCAAACACCGAGTAACCAACACCGATGCCGACCTCATTGCTCGCATGATACGAGATCAATGCATGCAATCAATGTTGCCAAAACCCACGAGGCCCTCGCCTTGACATACATCTACTCTATTGTGCCCAGCGTGGTCCGTCGACACCGACATTGCCACCACTCGCCCTTGTGCTGCAGCGCCAAAAACCTAGCATGCCTATATCCCAAGTTGCACAAGGAAAGCACCCGTAGATCACGACCGTCACACAAGCACGTCTAGGGCTGCAGGACCGACATGAAGTTAGACTGCTCCTCTGGGACGTGTCGAGCGAGCCGACACCCCCACCTCCCTAAAGGGACAAGATTGCCACCCGAGCAATGCTGAGCCGAAGCCCTGCCTCGTAGAGTTTCCACTCACACTGTTCCCAAGATCTCTGCCTCGGCGCACAATAGTAATCACCAGTAGCCGCCTCCTCGACGTCCACCAGCCCGGAGTATGAAAAGCTCCATGCAAGATGCATCATGTTGGCTCCCCAAGATGATGCCTCGAAGGAGAAGGATGCGACACCGCGACTCGCAGTGGCCCCGCCGCCCGAAGCTCTGGCTTCTCTATCACTGCTGGTTTCTGGCTGTGATAGAGAAGCCGGAGCTGTGGGCGGCGGGGCCACTACGGCAACGATGACTCCATGAGGGCGGTCTTCAGCGGGCGGTGCTCTCCGGATGTTGCGCTGGACTAGGTCGGTCTGAGGCTTGCAACTTTCTCCTGCGAAGCTCGCCAGCAAAATCGGAGCTGCTATGTCCTCGACGCCGCGGTCGACTGTTTGGCGTTGCTTTGTTGCTCGGTGCTCCCTCTTGACGTTTTGTGTCGTTGGTTGTGCTGTGATCTTGTCTGCGGCCAGGCCATCCGCGCGTGGCCCGCGTGGGGTTTGTAATTTAGGATTTCGCCCGGTTCCCCTCTAATTAACCGGCCAATTCTCTCCTTCTTAATCAATGAAAATGTCAATTTTCTTTGCCTCGTTTCCAAAAAAAAAGACCCAGAGGCTCCATGGCGTCGTTCCTCATCTTTGCAGACTTTTCTTGCCTGTACCGACCATTGCAAACATTGAGCGCAAAAATTATTATTGCTTTGGTTGCTTTGATATTCCAAGAAAAGTAAGAACTAGTCTTAGTTATTTATCACAGAAGAAAAAATAAGAGAGAGATTCCATACGTGACACCGACAGGATAGCGTATCCTAGTGCCTTAACCCTTAAGAATCGTGAATACTGTAGCAGCTATGGTCAGACCAGACGAAGATAAGCACTCCTGAGCAGTAGTGTAGCTCGCATGTCCAACCAACGGAGGGAGTGACTCAGCCAGTGCACCTTTATAAACAAACAATGAAACATACCAAGGCCGACACGCCATGCCGGAAACACTTGTTAACAACCTGATTATTTAGTAGAGTACGCTGTCTATCTCAGACTAATCCAGTTTAGTACTCCTCATTTTGTCTCCCGCGCCGTACCATCAAGCACATTTTGGGAAGCAGCACAATAATTCTCATGAATCTGTCGGTCGATAAAAGAAATAAGAAATAATTGTTGCGCGAGCCAAGGCAACGCTCATGGGCAGAACGTGTGTGATCAAATAGGAAACAAGATAGATATGGATAACATCACTAACACTAAAGAAAGAACTGAAAAGAGATAAGATGTCGTCGTCAATCATTGGGCTAGACCCTACTCCTATGTCACAATTATACTCCCTCCGCCATTATATTAGGTCTATTTTTTTCATAAAATTTCATAATGTAAGGTGT